CTTTATCATATTTTGAACTTTCTAACGAGCCTTACATGTTAAATTTGATCGATTGTTAAAGTGGATAAAATCGATTTTCTGTACTTGGTCTCCTCGTCAGTGGCGCGTCTTGTGCCGTATGTCAATAGCTGATTGTAAGTAGAACGGAACCGAAACCAAAAATTGATTTTCTCCGGAACCAATGGGTCAAATTTAAAAATCTGACGCTCGTTACAGACCTGAGAGTACTACAAATGCTGTAATTTTTACAGATTGACTCTAGTGTTTTTGGTCTTGAAGGGAAAAAAAGAAAAAATAGAGCCTTACTCGGTAAGGAAAACAAGTAAGCTTATTTTGGATACCCTTTATTCAAGCTATCATAACTTTGTCAATTTTTGACAAAATTAGCTTTCAGACCATTCAATCGACGGCAAATTACACCAGCTTTAAAATGAAACCAAGATCATTTTGATAGCTATCTTAGTTTAGAAATTAAAACAGAAACATTCACGAAATTTGATTCAATTTTCGTATCACCCTCTAATAAGCCCTAAAAAATACAAAAAACGATATATTTCTCCAGGAGCTCGAACAACCTATTTTCATTTTTAGCTAGAAAGACTTCATTTTCACTCTACTTTTCGAATCCGAAAAGACTTTTTGAGTGATAGACAATTTCATATAACTTTTACTCAAACGAACCGTGTCAGGTCTTGTAAATTCTCATGAGTTGTGGGTTGTAGGGTCAAAATTTTGTCTCTCTAACTGTTTCTTTTAGAAGCGTTTGATGGGAAAAATGATTTTCAAAAGTGAGATATTTAATTGCTTGCTTGTGGGCACCCGGAGTAGCTCAACTTATGGAAGCTTTTAAGCATGGACAGTGCCCTGGAAGCGGTAATCAGTGCTTCTGCTACTGCCCTAATTCTTATCCGACCAACTAGTCGGGCCGGAAACGTAAATATCAGAATTGGGAAATCCCATCAAATTCTAACCATTAGAATAGTGCGCCGCCAGTGAGGCATTGGCTCTCCCCGAGTGCTTCTGCTCCCCGCTGTCTCTAAAAATTATCTTTTTGACCAAAGGGTTGAAGATACAGTTATAGGGTCGAAGGGGCACAACTTGCGAAAATCAATCAAAAGCTCGTTTTAGTTAGACGATGAGCTCGGTGTCAAAAAAGCCTCGGAGTCATAGAAAAACACGAATTTTGGCTAAAATACGCCTGCAGACCTATGTTTAGGCAACCGTTTAACACGTATCCAGTGGCCTATCGGCTAAATCATGATCATTTCCGTAAACTACATTGAGTCAACTTGGAAAACCCGCAAAAATTTCCGGACTCTAGGAGGGGGCCAAAAAAGGCCCTTATCGATACCCCTCCTTACACTTTTTGATCCTTGGAATGGTTGGGAAATGTAGAAAGGCATGACAAAATAATTGCATTTTGACACTCTTCTCAGCAAACTAAAATCAGTTCATAGAAGATACCTCATACCCTTTATTTTTCGATTGTTTTTATCAGTAAGGCCTAGTAATGTGGAAACTTTTTCTTCTTCGTAGAATAGTTCTGTTGGAGGGCCAAATTTTAGGAGGCGAGCAGGATCAGTCGTCGATGTTGGATCTGAGGGTGGCGGCCCTGTCATTAAACACATTGGTGCAGCGATTGGAACCTTTGCCCCTTACTGTTTATTATCCATTAATTGAGTCATCACTACAATTGACGTATGCCAGCCACGTTGAGTCTGATGCTGCTCCTTTGCCTTTAATTATCCGAGAGAAAGACATAGAATACCAGTTTCTTAGAATTATGCTCATGAAAAGATTGATAGATGTAAGTAGTCTTGTTCATTTCATATGATATTTCTGCACAGAGACAAAGAATGAGATCCTCGTCACCTGAATTTTTCAAATGACAAAATAGATTTTCAATTTTGTTTATTTCAAGTGTAATTGATGCTCTTACATTTCAGATGAAAAATTTCTAATTTTTTCTCTGCAATTTGCTTTACTGTCCAATTAAGCAATTTTATCAGGGCAAATTCAAATCATGACTACTTGTTTTTACTTCATACTGAGTGTCTGTCTTTTAAAATCAAATTTTGCTAGCAAGTAAAAAAAGGAGAAGGAACTGCTTATCATAATGGCTAGTATAATTTTTCCTTAGAATCTAAAAAACTGCCAATCATGAATCTCAGTCAGCATTCATAATTTGTATTCCTTTTAAATGTGATTTTACCTCATATATTATTTGAACTAGGCCTACCCACTCAAGAAATCAGAACTAATCAAAGAGGCTTGCAAGGACATTCCTCCCTTGTATCGAGGAGTTATCTGGGCTATTATTCTTAATGTAATCGGTGATGTTGAGCCCGTTTACACTGAAATCGATAAAGAAACCGTTACGCCCACTGATAGACAGGTACGTCCTTATTAGTTTAATGTATCGTCAAAACATATTAACAACATACTTCTTCAGGAGGGCCATTTCACATCAAAACTACTAGGTCTACAACGAGATCATCACCCATTTATTCAAATTTTTTGCCAAGGATCAGCTTATCAATTGGACTACATTTTACAACAAGGAACCACTATTTCAAGTTAATCACAGAAAAACATGCGTGTCTTCTTTTTTCTCGCACAGTTCAGTTCTTTATGGATGAGCCTCAAATAATGGCTCCTTACAGCTAAATGCAGTACATTTTCACTTTTTTGTGCTCCATGTTGGCTCTCTATACTGTTCCTGCATAGGTTTCGGAAATGCTATTATAAGTGAATTGGAATTGACTTGAACAGATGTGATTTTGAACTTTTAAAACCTCAAATGAAGGGCTTGGAAGACAAGGTGCATAAGTGCAGTTTTTATTATTTCAAAAAAACGAGTTTAAAGTTCTCGATTTTACTCGGACCTATAGAGTGCTCCGAATATCTTCAAAATTTAACTGTGTTAGTCTCATACCCTCATGAAGTCCCCTGAAATTTTCAGCTCAGTTGAGCCAAATTGAGGCCAGCAGTTGGGCTTAAAGTGACGGTAGGTCGCACTTATCCCGCGTCCCCTCTAAACGAAAAATGCACTTATTCCATTCGCTGTTTTTTCCGTGTCAAATCGTCAAACCAGACAAAACCGTTTGGTATTCTGATAGACCTTACCTTCAACTACCAAAAAACAAGCATAACTCAATTTTGATTAAAGACATGCCTCTGATTTTATTTTTATTTTCATCCTTCCTTTTCCAATGCGGAAAAACTCGAGATGGTCTGGATTTTTGTTTCTACTGCGCCTTTCCTTCCTGTTTTTATCTACTGTGCTTTTAGTGAGTTCCAGTCGTTTTCGTGTATCTCACCTGTTGAAATTGTACAAGTATAATGAGCTATGGCATGCAGCTTAAGCGGATGGGCTCTAGTCTCTAGTCTCGAATTTCTAAAACTGCACTTATGCGCCTTGTCTTCCAAGCCCCTCAAATTTTTTTTCTCTGTCTATACTAAATTGAAACATCTAAAAAAGAAAAAGTAAATGAATGAAAAATAAAGTAATGCACTTTTAACATGTGTATCAAAATATCTAAAAAATTGTAGCGTTGATCTTTGAGTGGTATTTTTTCAATACAAGTTCTCAAATAGATTAAATCTATCTGAAGCCAATCAACATCCCAAGACTTCCGAAAAAGTGGCATTCCCTGTGACCTGTGGCGTCATCGCCACCAGCTAATCAGAGTGGAGCTCTTTGTGCTTGCCCGCGCTCCGGCACACATAAATACGTGCAGTTGCGGGCGCTCAGCACCACTCGGTTCCAGGTTCTCGCCATTGCTCCAACTTCAACCAGCTCTACTTTGCTCACCCATCTCTTCGAGCGCAGCTCCGTCACTTATTTGGAAACGGGCCTTTTTAGGGTCACCACATTTACTAGCTCGAGCCTCAGACTGATGAATTGTTTTTAGAGGCTGCATGGTGATGTCAAAAGAGTATTTTCCTTTTATTTTGTGTCTTTGAAAAGATGATGGATGTTAAAGTTTCACCAGAACTTTTTGCTGTGTATGAGGGTATGGAACACCCTTATTTGATACAAAATGGAGGAAAATAGTGGGATGTATCAAGAAAGCGAAACTCATTAGAAAAGAATGAATGTAAGGATGAAAACTACATCAAGTAATTTTATGGTGGTACAGGAAAATCTCACAAGGTACGAAAATTGTGAAAAGTTTCATAGTGGAAATTTCATTTTGATTTACGTTATGAACCTCGTAATGGTAGTAAAATGTTTTAACTTTAACTGGGATTTAATATGTATTATTGATCCAATCGTTTATTTTTAGATTGAGGTCGATATACCACGGTGCCACCAGTACAATGAGCTGCTGTCATCAAAAGAAGGTCATCTGAAATTAAAGAGAGTTCTAAAAGCATGGGTTATTAGCCATCCAGAATACGTCTATTGGCAAGGCCTTGACTCATTGGCAGCCCCATTTGTATACTTGAACTTTAGCAATGAGTGTAAGTCTTCTGAAGGTTTCAAGTTTGACAATAAATCCATTCCAAAGACCTTGAATCTAAAATCACTCTGATAGTAATATAAAACGACATTTCTGATGGCTAATTCCAGAAAATACTTATCCAAATCGCTGAGTCCCAAAAGCCTCACTCCTTTTTTTAAAGGAAGCTAGCAAACTTTTCACTCAATGTCCTTGTAGAATGCTATCCGAACCAAGAAGAAAAATCACTGAAGTCTTTAAGTAATCATGTTGATGAGTTTTCTGACAAAAAAATAAAGTAGCACGGGAAATCTGCAATGTTGCGAATTGGGATGAGTTTTTTCGTAGTTTAGCAATCAAATTTCCTACAAGAATTCACTGCCCTTATTTCACGATTTTTTTCTATCACTGTTTTTTGCCCTCCTCAGATAAATGAAACATTGTCCAATGTATCCATTATCATTTTAATCTGAGGAACTGTGACTGTTTCCATGGCTATCTCTATTGAATCTATAAGGAAAACATCTTTGATTGAAAAAAAAGTAAATATTCTCTAGAAGTGGAATCTGAAGAACTCAATGAAGTTATTCGCCAACTGACACTAAGCAGCATCAAGTTTTAATTTATTTTCTTTAATTTGTTGCAGCTGTGGCTCATGCATGCCTCTCAGCCTTTATTCTGAAGTATCTTTACAATTTGTTTTTAAAAGATAACTCAGAAATCATTCGAGAATATTTGGCAAAATTCTCGCATCTCATATCCTTCCAAGACCCAGTTCTCGCAAACCACCTTGATGAGATCAAATTCATTCCAGAATTATTTGCCATTCCTTGGTTTTTGACTATGTTCTCCCGTAAGTCCTGTAGTTCATTAAGATAAGTTTTATTGTTTTTCCAAAACTGCATTCTCATTTGAGTGAAATGTATTTTTTTTATCCACCCACAACCACCCCAAAATTTCTAACATTCAAGAAAGTACAGGAAATGGCCGCAGTCTAATTTTCCTTCATTTTGTTTAAATTGGCACAAACAAGTCAAATATTTATCAACGATGCTCCTTAGTCATTGATACAGGTTCGTGTACATTGATTGTGTTTTACTCATTAAAGGAGGAAAGTCAATATTTCATGCAAGAAAAACATCGATATCTTCAGTTTTATTTGGGTCTGTAGAGATCTATAACTTTAATGGAAACATCTCGACCAAGAGGAGTTAAAAATTAGACTGGGGTTTTGAGGCTCGGTACGTTTTCCAGAATGAGGAGAAAAGCAGTGGTTTAACTGAGATAAAAGACTGTGAGTATCTGTTTGAACTTGAAAAAACGATGAGTTTATCCCCCTCTTGAACTGAGGCATAGTTTCAACCAACAATCAAAGAATCTTGGCTCAAATTCCCGCATAGAACCCTGTATGAAAAACCAAGGGCAATGGCTACATTTTTTTAATTATTTTTTGACACTCATTACAACTCTCTGAGTACAATGAGCTCATAAAAGCAAACTCTCTCTGTGCCAATGTCAATAGATGCAGGGTTGAAAACGGAATTTTTTTGCATTCTGACTCTTGTTTTCTTATGGATTTGATGGCCTGCTACTACGTGTGTTGGTGTTGCACCGCACGCTGTCATTATTTGAAAAAATTTGACTATACTTGTCTGTCTTAGTTTTCTGCCTGGTGAGGTAATGTAATCTTTTTTTGAACACCAATCTGATCCGCATCATTTCTACCAGATTATGCGCCTATAAATGCCAAAAAAAGAACCCTCAAAGCCTTGCTTTTCTTGAAAGTAGCACATAGAAATTTTTATTTTGGAAGCTTATCGTCTCCAGGAATTCATCCAGAATACCATTAATTAATTACAAATTGTGCGGATGCTGAATCCTTTGGTGCACATTGCAGATTGCTTCAATAAGGTCTTAGCAGGGAACGGAAAGTGGTTTCACTTTTTGCGATAAAAATCCTACTAATAGAATATATATGGATTTGTGAAAAGTCCCAATTTCACTAGTGCTCTCAACCTTTGATTTTAAAAGAAGAAAAATATTGATTGTCAAGAAAGTTTTGTAACGGGCCTGTTCCAAACTTCTTCAAATAAGAGTTAATTGTTAGAGAAAATGTTTTAAAAATCATGAAGAGCACATCGGCAAAGTCTGAAATTCACTCCTAACTTCACAATCTGTGTAATAAATATGCACTTTTTTGAGCTTGCCCCTTCAAAAACGATACTACGGCACAGGTAAACCTTACTTTAGAAGAGTCGTTCCTTATAACTCCTGCTCAATAGAATGCTATTCAATATTCAATATGGCCTCGTGTGTGTCCAAAACACAAGTGACGGGACGAGATTCTAATCACCTGATCACAATCGGCGTGTTTACATTCACATTTTCCTTGCATTGAGACTGTTGACTTATATCTGCCTTGATTGACCTTGTGCTTTCCTCGACTCATGCGCGGAAGCATCAGCCATGATGAATGTTGCAAAACATCCTTTTGAGTAGCGGCTGAATGGAACAACTCCTCCAACAAAATGTTCACCCGTGCCGTAGTATCATTTTTGAAGCCAGAAGCTTAAAAAACCGCAAAGAGCCTTGTCCGAAAGGGGTGTTTTTTCGCCCCTTCTTGGATACCCGAGTTGGTCAATGGGACATGGCTCAAATGATAACTTATGGTAAGGCAAACTTCCAGGCAAAGTTTCAACTTGAAGTGACATCTTTCATTTTTTATGTGCTATAATCAAGTAATTCTGGACTAACAGTCCAATGCATCATACTGAAACAGACTAGTACATTGGTCTGCATGCTGAATCTACCCTGAGATCGTATAGAAACGCAATTAAAGGCAGTCGTGAACTTTTCGAAGCAGGTTTGCCATTTTCTAATTTATTTTTTCAACACTAGAGGGCTCCGCCCCCTGGCCGCTCCGCGGCCCAACCCCCTCGTATATTCTGTCAATTCGTTATGAAAATATCACTTAATTTTTTTTAATTTACATTATTCTCGTAAATTGTATTAATATTAATACTGCTGAAGTTCTGTTAAGTGCTTATTCATTCAAAAGATCATCTTCAATTTAGCTAAAAACTTACTTCAATTAAGGTTGGAGTTTTAAAAAAAGGTGAATAATCAGTTTGAAACGGTTTATATGGGATAAAATAAAATGGATGGAAAGCAAATAGGATAGAATATAATATAATATAAACGAAATATAATAGGTTTGTCATTAATAAAACGGGATGTATTTATATTAACCTTGATAAAAGGCCACAGGTCGGTTTGATATTTAAATTAAAGAGTGGCGGTGATGCGTAACAATTTTTGGATTTGCTGCTGCAATTCCCGAGTAGTAGTGATCGCCATAAATTGCGATTTAATCGGAGAATATATCGCGATTTTATCGACGTCGCGATTTATTGCAATATTATCGGATAAAAAAATCGCGATTTTATCGAC